AAGAATTTCAAGATGGCAGCAGCAGAGCATTAAGCCAAGCACAGGGCCTCTGTGAGGGTGGGGCCTTGTGCGACAACACGGGTCACAGGCCCAAGAAACCAGCCTCGGGGGGAGGGGAAATGGTCAGGGTCAGCCAAGAAGGCTGATTAGGGCCCACGTGAGGTGTCCCCCCAAATTTGGGCCACTTGCCCATTGCCCACCTGAGCTTCATTTTTCTCCCCACAAAGCCATTAACCACCTTCTGCTGATGACCTGGGAACTATATGCTACAGAAAAGCTTTGACGCCCAGCGAAGAAGCACATTACAACATATGAACACTTATTACTTGCTAATGATAGTTCTGCTTCACAACGGAATAAATAGTTTCATTTTTAACACAGGAGGCTGTCAATGCCCCCCCTTCCGATACGTTGTTTGACCTACTAGTTTTGTTTTAACCGTTGTAATATGAATGACTGCTGGGAAAAATATTAAAGTAGTGAAAAGCTGTGTGAAAATGCCACTGTTCAAGATAAAGAATCCCCTTTATTGCGAGCGTGCCAGGCTATGTAGGAGAAGGCAAAGGGCAGATTGGGTGTCTGTAATGAAATCATTTGAAAATTGGAGCAGGCAAATTTTTAACTGATACGACCTATTATGATATCTATGATATCTACGCTTAAAAGTTTTAATGATGGAAACCTTGGATGGTTTCTTGAGATGGAATATATAACTTTACCCTGATGTGGCCTACAGAACAAAAGTCTAAAGGCCTTAGGGTAGGATTCTAGAAAACTGTAGTGTTTAAATGAGGCAGCTTCTAGGCCGGCCAGTCCGGGTTCAGACACTGCCTCAGGCTTTCACTGTGTGGTTTGGGGTAAGTTATCTGATTCTCCAAGACTCCCTCACCTGCAAAATGGGGGACCTTAGGGTGCCTCTGTCAGAGATGCCTGCAAGGATTTGGGGAGATTACACATGGAAAGCTCCCCCCTTATGGTAAGCCCTCAAGAAATGTTTGCTATTATTATGGTCATGATTGCTGCTGCTGTTGCTTTTGTTGTGGTGGTTCTTGTTGTTATTATTGTTATTACACCATCTGGCCCCTGCCTGCCTCTCCACATTGTTTCCTCTGTCAGCTTCTCTCATTCGATGCAAGCCCCAGGCTAAAGGAAGCTACTCCTCGCCCCCTGCATGTACTCAAAGGTTCTCTGCCTTCTTTTTGTTGCCATTGCTGTGAGGGGGCTGAGGAACCACTTGAGGGGATGTTGTAGAGGTGAATTCAAGCCACAGAAGGGAACCAGGTTGAATGAGATCCCCTGTAAGTTCCCCTTGGCTCTAAGATTCCATCAGATCAACAAAGTGGACAGGAAAGTTAAGCAGCCCAGGGTCCGACATTCTCGAGATTGTTCTTTGACCCTCCCTGCTCTCCTGGTACTGCCCCCTCCTTTTTAGCCCCCTAGCTGAGGGAGCCTTCTGTTCCACTGCATGGAGTACAACGTGGAGCCCCCCGCCGAGCTGGGAATCCTAGTAGAGACGGGCCTCCGTGAGAGCACGTAGACTTGGTAGATAGATGTTGAGCAAGTTGCTTCAATTCTCTGAGCCTCAGTTTCTTCAGCAGTAAAATGGGGATATTTGCAGCCACTACACAGGGTGAGAACTGAATCAGATGTTGTACACAAAGGGCTTCAACAGAGGGTCTGACATACAGCTAGGCCACTAAATATCACCTCCCTGTCATCAAGGCTGGACTCGGGCTGGGTCTTTAAGGAGATTTAGATGAACAGATGGAGCTTGCAGGGTCACAGGGGAAAGTGGCTTGAGGCAGGTGGGGGCAGATGGAAGGAGGCCCTGAAAAGTGGACGAAGGGACCTGGGCCTGAGAACGCAAAGAGTCGGGAGCCTTGCTTAGTCCCCGTTGCCCCTCCTCTTCTCTGGTCAGTGCCTTGCGTAAAATGTAATAGGTTAAAAATAATAGGATGAATTTTCCTGAACTCAGATTTCAAGGGCTGTTTCCCCAGCTTCGGAAATAGCTACAAATCTGTCCCCGGCCTGCCCTGGAAAGCAACATAAAACACAGTGTGCCCTGACACCGCTTCCTGGTTCCACTGGGCACAGGCTTCGACGTGGCCACCTTCCAGCGCAGGCTCTCTTGGCACGGTTTTCACAGGGTCTGTGGCCTCCCGAGGAGAGGAAGACAGGGCCTGGCTCAGGTGGGCTGTCTAGTCAGCTTTCGCTGGAGAGTCCTGAGCCCCGGGCACACGCCGCCGTTCTTTTGTCCCTCCAAGCCTCTGTCTTTTCTTGGGTTTGAGAACTGGTGACCCAGCACGTGCTAACCCATTTTAGACGGTAGCTTCCAGGAGGCAGGAATTATCTCTGACGTCTGAAGCATCAATACTGGAAGGACTGAAGAGAAGAAAGCAAGGTGGCTAGAGTCACAGGTGCAGAGTGGGGCTGAGCCAGGTGCAAGGACCTTCCTCACTGAAGCCAGTCAGTTCCATGCCATCCTTCACTGCTAACTGAGCAACTCCTATGTACCAGGCATTGTGAGACACAAGGCAGCCTGCCTCCCGCTCTTCCTGGTGAGTCTCAGGTGCAGACCCAGGGCGGCCCCGGGGGCGAAGAATTTTCTCAGCGTCAATAGTACAGAGTGGCTACTGGCCGAGTTATCCCAATGCTGGATCTCTAAGCCTCAGTTTCCGTATCTGTAAACCTCTCCTCATGGAAAGGCCCTGGGCATGAAAGGCGAAAACAAACATAAAGCCGCTATTACAATGCCTGACTGAAATTTTATTGGCTGAAAAATTAGCAAAAGATCTCATGAAAATCTCAGTAAACTGGTACTTTAAAAGAGAAAGAACTAATACAAAAACATCTAAAATGTGCAATTAATTCCAAACACTGAGGATTTTTTCCTCAACCCTGCATCCTAAATAATAATACAAAGCAAAACAGTAACAACGCTGTCACACACTGTCTGAAGCATTTCAGCCTCCCAGCAACTGTGGAAGGTTAAGTACTGAATGATCCCATTTCACAGATGAGAAAATACACAGAAAAATTAATTCACAGGCCAGGGTCACACAAGTCTCGGGAATATTCCTTGAGTTCGCATTTGCTGCCATCTGCCTCCCGCTGTCCGTTCCATTCTTCCTAGAACCCCCGGAAAGTCCACAAGTCAAGCCTAACATGGCAGCCACTCTTCCTTTCAGGGAGTTGCTTCCTTCTCTTTCCCTTCCTCTCTATCCATTTCTAAAGAGACAGGCAGAAGGAAGGCTGCTTGTTGCCTAACTAGAAAAATGGTCCAGGGTTTACAAATTTCTACTCCGCCACTGCCTTCAGAGACATTGCGCTGCAAGGCCTGAGGAGAAGGCCTTGGGGAGAAGCAGGGAGCCTTAGTGTCGTACCTGTGTCATCCGGACACTCGGGGAGGAGAGAAGTGATTCTTGACAGCAGCTGGGTGAGGGGAAATGGACTCCCAGAACCCGACAGAAATGGTGTCAGCACGAAGCACCTGACGGCTGCAAAGGGCCAAAAATCCACCCTGCACGCTCCTTCCTGAGTTTCCACGATGAAGTGGACTCTTGGGCCAGTCAACTGGGGGAGGGTCAGGGGGACGTGTAACCAGAGAGATGACATACTGTGCCTGCATGAAAAAGTCCAGTGCCCTCATTCGGGAGCAGAATGACAGCGACCCAGCAGAGTGTGAACTGGGGAACCAGACGGTCACCTGCCCCTGCCCACCCTGTCCCCCTCCCTCCCCAGGAAGAAGGAAGTCTAGTGGACGCAGAAATGGGGAAGTCGGAGGTGCTCCTGCAGTGGCTTTCATGGGTCTATATAACAATTGACTCCAACCCCCAGTGAGACAAAAGCCTCGGCCATAAACAAGATTAGCAAGGGGTTTCTGGAAACATTTTCTGAGGACGCAGGGAGGGGGAAGGAGTTTTGTGCATACTGCTTTATGTGAAAACTCTCACAACCTGGCTCTTTTCCCTTCACAGGCCTTGTGCACCTCCCCTCTCCTCCCCCCATGGTATTTGTAACTGATTTCAGCCCAAGGGGAGGGGTCCCTAGTATTCAGAGTCAGGTGCCATTTTGAAAACAACTCTCTACCTAGAGCTCCCATATTTCCGGATGTAACTCAGAAACGCACTTCAAAATGGAATCCTGCTCGAAAGACTCCTTTCAAAATACGGAGTTCGATTTTTAAATTGAATCTTCAGATTTTAGAGATAATGGGAGTGCAGTCTCTGGGCTTCCACCCGGGCCTCCTTGGCAATCACTTTTGTAATTTAGGAAAATCAGGAACAGGAAAGTAAAAGAACTTCTTCCTTGTCCGGCAGCAAGTCAATAGCAGAGCTTGAACTTGACTTATTTTCCTAAGAGGCAGGCGATGTACTCTATAAACTCCCGGTAAATTCACCGCCAACCCGCAGATATTCCGGTTATTTGATTTGGGTGCTAACCAAACTTACAGCATTTTAAAAAATATGCATGTTACAGTGAGAAAACTTTTTTTTTTTTTTTTAATCACTTAAGGGTGCTTTACTTCCCACCCAAGTCTAGGAGAATGGCAGCGAGGAGACAAAGAAGGCCGGGGTGGGGCGTAGGGCTTCCACTGGCCTGAAAGCTGAAATCACGGGAATCGCACCGCTGCAGTGGGCGAGGCCCTGGGGCGAGGGACACCGCACCCTGGCTTGGGGATGTCTGTAACGGACAAAGGCAGCTTCGCAGTAAAGGAATGCCAGTCCCCCCTAGGTACCACCCAGGCCCTTAGTTATCACGCTCCGGTCCCCAAGAACAGGTTTGCGCAGCTGCTGCAAAAATCCATGATGACAGAACAGACATAAGGGGCTGGGGGAATGTACTATGAAGGAAGTGTTGCAGGGTGGGCTGTGCGCGTTTTATTTTTCCGCCCTCGCTGCGGTTACGTGCGTGGGTGGACACACGGTGTGAGCCCCCAACGCCAGGCAGGCCGCGGACGCCGTTCCGGAGACGCGGCGCGAAGGAGTTAAGCGCGCCGGCGGTGACGTCACCTCATTTACATATGAGCGCGCATATAGTGGCGCCCGGCGGGCCCTGCCCGGTACTCGGCGGCGACCACTGCGCAGGTTGGACCTCGTTCGCTCGTAACTCGCTCCGGTGAGCCCGGGGGCCCCTGCCTCCTGCCCTTTGCTCCCCTTCCCGCCCCGCGCCCGCATCCGTGAAGCCGAGCAAGAGTGGTCCTCCCGGGAAAGGCGGCCCCTGGGGAGCTTGGGGGTGCTAGACCCTTCCAGATGCTGGGTAACGGGGTCGGGAACTCGGTGATTTTTTTTGTTTAAGTATTTAAAAATTTCGCGTTTTGCTATGGCAGCTTCGAAGGGAACATTTTTTTTTCTTTCCTCCCCCGCCCCCCAAAGAAAAGCATTCTGCATCGCTTCTTAGGCGATGATGAATCAGGAACAGAAAGATGCTTTGTTCCGGCTCACACCCACCAAAGCCCGGAGCTTCACGGTCACATTTTTTCTCTCGCCTCTGATGGCTTCGTGGGCTGTATCTGTTTAGGTTTAAGACGGCTGGGCTGTATTATGAAATGTTTAAAACGCCCTTCTTGCAGGGGGATGTGTGCAGAGCTGCGGAGTCGCTCCTAAATGCAGATCAGCGTTGATCTAGAGGGTGTGGGGGGCAGCTTTGTGTGCGGCTGGCTCCATTGTTGAGCGAAAGGAAGGAAGCGGGTAGGGCGGTGGTCGGTGGCGCCCGGCAGCAGCTGCCGCCTTTGTGAGCAGAGAAGAAAGCAGGACGGCTCGCATCTTTGGGGAAGAGGCCACGTATAGAAAACGGAAACATTTTGTGCAGGCTTGGCTTCATTTTAAGAACTCTAAGTCGATTTTCTTCCCCTTAAGCTTGAAATGGTTTCACTTTTCTCTAATGTTGAAACGCTGCAAGTAGCTAACCCACAGTGGTTAATTTCACTGTTCTGAAAGATTCGGCCTCCTTGTGTGGGCGATCTTCCCAATTTGACCCCCCGCGTTTTGAAATACTAAAGGCGGGGGCCCTCTCTTTCTCCTGTAAAAAGAGGATGATCTTTAGCCCTGAATGAAAGCGGAAGGTGGCAAAGTGGGTTTTACGGCAGGAGACAGGGCAGAGGCGCGTTTCTGAGTCGGGAGAGACGAGGGTAGGTGGCCCGCCCTCAATCTCGCTCTTGGCTTTGTACCTGCAGCTTCCTCTGCAGCCATGTCTGACAAACCCGATATGGCTGAGATTGAGAAATTCGATAAGTCGAAACTGAAGAAAACAGAAACGAAAGAGAAAAATCCACTGCCTTCACAAGAAAGTAAGCCTCCCTCCCACCCCCCTTCTTTAGAAAAGGCCGAGCGGGAGTGGCGGGGTGGGTAGGAGAGGATGGGAGGGGCTGGGAGAATTGGGGTGGGTGCAGGGAGTGCGGGGGAGGAGCTGACAGTTCTGTGATTCACGCGGCATGGAAAGGTTAATTGAAAATTGCCTTGCAGCCAACAAACACGGGGCTTTAATCATCTAATAATTGAGCGTTTAATATACCATATTAATATGCAAATGCCTTTATCCTTTTCTCTCTTCAAATGTTGTATATCACATAAATATTTCGTGGTGGAATGCCTATTTGTGCTTGTAGAAATTTGTCTGATGAGGAGAGATGTCTTTAAACGAAAGTACTGAAATCCTATGCTCGGCTATACTGAATTCGCATCTCCAGCCCCCTCCATCTTTTTTTTTTGTCTTTTTCTTTTCCGGTCGCAGCGATTGAACAGGAGAAGCAAGCAGGCGAGTCGTAATGAGGCGTGCGCCGCCAATATGCACTGTACATTCCACGAGCATTGCCTTCTTATTTTACTTCTTTTAGCTGTTTAACTTTGTAAGATGCAAAGAGGTTGGATCAAGTTTAAATGACTGTGCTGCCCTTTTTCACATCAAAGAAAGGAGAACTACTGACAACGAAGGCCGCGCCTGCTTCCCATCCGCCTGTCTGGCTGGCAGGGAAGGAAAAGAACTTGCATGTTGGTGAAGGAGGCTGGGTGGGACGACAGTGAAATCTAGAGTAAAGAGCAAGCTGGTCCAAGGTGTCCTGCGGGCTGTAAAATGCAGTTTAATCAGAGTGCCATTTTTTTTTGTTGTTGTTCAAATGATTTTAATTATTGGAATGCACAATTTTTTTAATATGCAAATAAAGTTTTAAAACCCGGTTGGTGTGACAGTATGGTCTCTGAAAGGAGCATCTTATTCAGATGAAACCTTTGCAAAAGGGTCAAAGGTGGGTGCCCTGGGGAGCGATAGATGACAAACACCTGGTCATTTGGGCAAAACGACACAGAAATGGGTTTCATCCAGGTATGTGAAATAGCTCGTCTACACTAGGTAATTAATTAGGAGATCATTTTCTTACGGTCATTGAATTCCTAGTATCTAGCGTTGAACGCAAACTTTGATAGAAATATTTGCAGTGCTTAACTGTTGAAGGGTCTGTTATTTGTTAAGCCGACACTGAATTTATTGCATCTGATCAAGAAAATTAAGGTGGTGGTAAGTCACAGCACACTTTCAGGTGTCAAACTTGAGTTACTTAGACAATTATCAGTCCTGTCAGATAAGGAGAAAATGACAATTTTAACAGCTGCTTTATAAAAGGATTGAAGATACGTGCTTCCTCTTTGTCTAACGGCTGGTTCAAATTCAATATTAAGATTGCTTTTATAAGTGCACTTAACGGTTAATGAATATGACTTAATTCTCAACTTGGATACTGAAAACTGTCTTTGGATTTAAAGGACACCAGCCGGACAAGAATGGAATTTGTGCTGTTTAAATCTAATACGATTTAATTGGCTCACCTACAGTCAGGCCTTACCTTCGTTGAGTCCTTGATAACTTCTCAATCATTTGAAATGCCTATTTTAACTGGTGGGTAAAAGCCAAGCCCTTGTTTTGGGGGGCGTTTAATGTGCAGAAAGAGAGAAATAAGAGTACCAAGTTTTTAAAGGAAAAGTGATGTCTTAACAAACGTCTTTAATGGATTCTTCCCTTATATAAGGAAGGGTGCAAATTTTTCAAGAATAAGTTAATTTTACTAAGTGGAAACAGCATTTAGTGACAGTTGATCTAATAGCTCAGCAAAGCTAGCTAAGATTTACAATGCAAATGTTCAAGACGTTAAACTCGTCTGCCGTCACGCCCCCCGCCCCCACAACTGACTTGCAAAAATATCCATTTTTAAGGAGAGGGTGGAGGGCAAATTGCTGATTATTAAGCCGGTTGATTTCATTTCCTTGGCTCGACACTTATTTTGAGAAATGCACAGGAAACCATTTATCTGTGGTTTAGACAGTCAACCAGATCATCACCTAGAAGACTCTGCATTGCAAGGAAAGGGGATGTGTGCAGGCAACTGCCAAACCTGAGAGGCCTCAGCCTGCTGGATTCATCGAGAAAAGAGCAGTGAGCACACAGAGGTCTGGGAGCCTTCTCAAGGTGGAGCCTGGCCCTCCAGCCCTGCATTTTCTCCTCCTGCCTGTAAGGAAGGGTGTGGGCAAAATGAAAATGTCCATGGCACAAAGATAAACCAAGCCCACGTAGCTGTTTGCTCTGTGCATTTTTCAAACAATGCAGAGATGAAATCAGATTGTAAGGAATGCACACAACTCAACTGTTCCTCAGCTTTTAAATAAAAGTGAGCGTTAAGGGGAAAGGGGTGAATCATGAAATCAAGTGATGGGAGAGAATACCTTTCTCCTGGGAGGACAAAGCTCAAACGTAGCTACCCCCCCCCCCAAAAAAAAAGAAAGAAAATGAAAAATCTGGTAAGGATTGGCGCTTGGTGTGTGGTATGGGGAAATTGACAAGCTTCTGCATGTATCACGTTGTATACACTTCGCTGCTGCACCTGGACACGGATGCAGGGTGGGAGTGGGGAGGAGAGGCTGCTTTTTTTTTTTTTTTTTTTTTTTTTTTGATGGGGGAAGAGAGTTCTTTTTTCTTCCCAAGAGAGGGTCTTCCCAGATGGCTGGAGTGTTTATGAATCAGTATGGGGATTTATACCCCTGTTACTGAGCTTCGAGTGGACAATGTTTTTCACAAGCACGAAGGGGACCTGAGGGTCACCGTTAGAATGAGGGATCCTTCCAATTGCAGGAGACCCTAGCCACCGCATATTCGACCCTCTCCCCCGCAAACCCCCAGGAGGAAACAGGCCAAGGGAGCTTATGTTCAAGCCGAAGGTCATACAGTCAGGTCTGGGCTGGGACTTAAGCAAACTTTGAATTGAGCAGGAAGAATAAAGCAAAAAGAGAGGAAGTAAAAGAGGCTTGTTTGGGACAGTCTTTTCATTTCTAAACCTCACAAATTCCTCAACCATCACAGCCACACTTTTCAGTCTTCCAATAGATGGAATTTTCAAGCTATTTTTCCAGGAGAGTAGCATAGTTTTGGGGCTGTATCTCTGAGGATTGTGTATATGGGGGAGCTGGGGGGAGTCATACGAAGTCTTAAAAAACCCTCCCCGGTGCAGGGTCTCTTCCACCCCTGATAATCATTGCATCCCCTCCCACAGTCCTGTGAGTTAGATAATATCTCCTTGAAATATACCGGGAAGATCTCTTTATTTCCCTAAAGAAGCATCTTAACACCTCAAGACACAAAATGAAATAATTTTCTATTCTTTCTAAACATATGGGGCCAATTTTGTGCTTACTAGAAAGAGCAGCACGTTTTAGAAACAACATTATGGCCAAAAAAAGAAAAAGAAAAATCTTGAGCCTTTTTTTAGTTCAATAATGCAAACTGAAAACATTGTTTCATAGCATTGAAAGCGCTTCACACTTTTTGAGAGTGGCTTACACACCAATCTAAGAGAATGAAACATCAATTTGAAGTTCAATTATATTTTATTTACACGTAAGGAGAAGGGCCTAAATTAGAAATTTAAGACACAGATGTGCCATGAAATAAGCTAAGAAGAAGATACGTTTCAAAGACCTATATTTACCATGGCTCACGGGCCTAGCCACTCCGTGGCATGTGGGATCTTCCCGGACCGGGGCACGAACCCGTGTCCCCTGCATCGGCAGGCAGACTCTCAACCACTGCGCCACCAGGGAAGCCCCACATTTGTGTATTTTTTCTTCTACATCCAATAGTATGCCTTGCATAGTAGTGGACAAATATTAGGGCTTCAACAGACTCTCTTCCCCTCTTAATTGATGGGGACCTCATTTAACATGTTTTTGAACATACTTTTGAGTATGTGAATATCATGCTCGATAGCACAATTTTTAAAATATATATAATATATATATATTTTTTTAATCAAGGAGACTATACAGGGACATTCTTCTCCATACTTATTGCTAATATCCACCTAAATATAATAAAAGGAAATTCACAGATAATGTGGAATCTCCATTTGTGAAATTTAAGAATTCTTTTACAAATATATTTAAAGAGCTTTGAATGCTAATTTGCCACCATCCTTGATGTGTTGATTTTGAATCAACGCTTACAGTCAACTACATATTAATAAGCCAGAGCACTGGGTCATTCGTTCACTCCACGGGTGTTTATTGCCTGCCCGGTACATGCCAGGTATTTTATTTGCCACAGAGAGAGTCGTAAATAAAATGTAGTCCCTGGGCTTCCCTGGTGGCGCTAGTGGTTGAGAGTCCGCCTGCCGATGCAGGGGACACGGGTTCGTGCCCCGGTCTGGAAAGATCCCACATGCCGCGGAGCGGCTGGGTCTGAGCCGTGGCCGCTGGGCCTGTGCGTCCGGAGCCTGTGCTCCGCAGCGGGAGAGGCCGCAGCGGTGAGAGGCCCGTGTACCGAAGAAAAAAAAAAAAAGTGTAGTCCCTGCCCTTGCATGTCTTCCCTTGGCTTAAGATGCCCTTTTCATCTAAACTTGAGTGGAAAATGCTAAGAAGTTATTCTTTTCCATTTTTAGGGTGAATGTCAAACCTAAGGGCTTTGTATTTTCAAATGAGTGCGAAGATCTCTGCTCTGCTTTGGTGTGGACTTTTTTCCAAATGTCTCTATAATGATTCCATTCAAATCTCTTCGAAAACTCAACGGTGAGTGACGTTTGATGGAAACCACCTGATTCTTTGCATCACAATCAAAAATTTTATCAGCATAGAAAGATTGGGCATAATAACTCCTGCCTCTTATCTTTTGACAATCATTTGTGAGGAATGCCCAAGACTTAGGAATGGACTGCCTGGGTATTATTTTAAAATCTATCTTTTTCTAGGATTTTATCATTGAGATGCTGGATTTCCAGAGAAACACTTCTCTTTTTTTTTTTGAACTTTATTTTATTGAAGTATAGTTGATTTACAATGTTGTGTTGGTTTCAGGTGTACAGCAAAGCGATTCAGTTATATATACATATATATCTATTCTTTTTCAGATTCTTTTCCCTTATAGGTTATTACAGAATATTGAGTAGAGTTCCCTGTGCTGTGCAGTAGGTCCTTGTTGTTTATCTATTTTATATAGTAGTGTGTATATGTTCATCCCAGACTCCTAATTTATCCCCTCCCTTCCCCCCAGCTTTCTCCTTTGGTAACCATAGTTTGTTTCTTATGTCTGTCCAGAGAAACATTTCTTATTGCTAAATCCTTACCCTTCCTCTGTCAACCTTCCTTCTCCAATTTGAGTAAGATTGTCAGAGGCAAAAACAGTCATTCAAATTTTGAAATCCGCAGAGAATGTAGCAAAATGGCGACCACGTGAGGATATCTGTAAGCCTAGCACCTGGCTGACGGACGGCTGGGTCACTTCTGTTTAGTAGGACTCCAGAGCTTTGAGCCTCAACAGAGAGGGACAGGTTACGTTCATGATCTATTCAAAGCAGTTGGAGCTATTCCTGTCCCATTATTGTCAAGCCACAGGAAATTATGCCTTTCCTCATTACCATACTGAGCTCTGTAAGTGGCTGATACCCTTTGGATACCCTTTGGCTACACAGAGACCTTGTGATAGTGTTTTCCCAATCTAGAAACAAAAATATTTCGTAAGATTAAATATATATACTATTTATATATACATAATATTATATATATCGACTGTCATCCATTTATTTCAACCAAATGTCATGGCTTGCATGGAGGGTGGAAAAAAATCATTCTTTATTTATTCAGCAAACATGTATTGAGCATCTCCTGCGTACCCAGCTCTTTCCTAGCCGCTGGGGATAGGAATCGGAATCAGAGCCGGGCCTGATGGGAGAGGCAGACCCGTGTGAGCGAACAGCCACATACAGCATGAGCCATAGATCGGTTCGTTTACCCAAAAAATTCACCGAGCTCCATGTTTGCCAGGTAATACTTTGGGCTGGGACATCCACAGCAAGCAGATTGTAAAGGGCCCTCCTGCTTGGCTAAGGAGTTTATTAACTGCTCTTTGGCAACTAGGAGCTATCAGAAGTAAAATCCCTTAGCGCACTTACGACAGTTTGTAGATTCTTCCTGTTCGGAATGAAGCTACCTGGAGGGTAGGGCAAAGAAGTGGCTACCCATACTTGTCATCGACAAAGCAGATTATCCATGTGACATTAACTGAGTATGAGAAGGTAATAAATCAGACTTTCATTGGTATTTCCTGGTCTACATTTCAACAAGACAGGCTGTCACACCTCCATATTGGAAACACTTTTCATGTTGACTTGCTTCCAATTTTTATACTGGTGTGGACAGAGGGTTAATATATTTGAAATGGTTAAAATGACTTTTTTTTTTTTGGTGGGATCTCTGAGGTTTGCAGTGCCTTATCCTAGAGTCTGTACTTTAAAAGCTAGTCTTCAGGGCTTCCCTGGTGGCGCAGTGGTCGAGAGTCCGCCTGCTGATGCAGGGGACGTGGGTTCGTGCCCCGGTCTGGGAAGATCTCACATGCCGCGGAGCGGCTGGGCCCGTGAGCCATGGCCGCTGAGCCTACGCGTCCCGAGCCTGTGCTCCGCAACGGGAGAGGCCACAACAGTGAGAGGCCCGCGTACCGCAAAAAAAAAAAAAAAAAGCTAGTCTTCAATCATGTATGAGTTTCTCCGTGTCTTCTCCTCTTCTTTTCTCTTCTAAGGACACTTGCCATTGGATTTAGGGCCCACCCAGGCAATCCAGGATGGTTTCATCACAGGATCCTTAAATATGCAAAAACTCCTTTTCCAAGTAAGTCAATATTCACAGGTTCCAGGGATTTGACGGGGATAGAGCTCTTGGGGGGCCACCATCTAACCCACTAGGAATCATGACCCATAGATCTAGTTACACCACAATGGTTGAAGTGGTAAACTGGTGATCAGCTCTGTGGGCAGAGACATTTTACTGAAGACGTGGGTTTGTGGGAGGAGAGAGGATAACTGCAGTTTTTTCATATTTATCAGAAACTTACTCCATGGTATAAGGAGTCCTAAGAAGAAACTTCTAGGAGCTGTGAGTGAGTGGGGACCAAGGGGAATGGAATGGAAGGAACATCAAAGGTTTGGGATTGGTTGTATGTTTACTATGATGACAGAGGTGAGGAACACAGGTGGTCATAGGATAAAACAATTGTTCTGGTACAGTAATTGGAAATGTCCACCAGGCAAATACCATCTGGGAAAATAAGTAAATATAGTAGTAGAAGTAATTGGAGAGGCCAGTCATGAAAATTAAAAAGAAAACAACAAAGTAAAAAGAATATAAACTGGGTTATTTGAAGAAAGGATTGTAATATGTAACCCTGACGTTATCATTTCAAAAATTATTGTTTAACTTCAGCTAGGAAGACAAAAGCACCGTGAGTTCTTATATCCAAACATAAATTCTTGAAGCCAAACAGATATGCCTAAAGTATTCCTCAAAGATTCCACTGACTTTCTCTTTAAAAGCCCCATGTTATCACAGAGATGCATGAATGCATACATGTGCCAAGAACAAACATATTGGCAACTAATGTTTTGAACCTTCATCTACTCAGGCCTGCTTTTCTGAAATAGGTTATGAAGTTTCCCGTCAGGAGAGATGGATACGAAAAAGTCCATCTGTTTAGGTCCTCAACCCAAGTAGCAAAGAATTAATTATTCAGATCGGAAAGAGGTGAGGTCAATTGACGCTAACCCAGACATTAAGGACTGCCTGCCCCAAGGAAGGCAACGCTTTTGACCGTATCCCCTTGAAACAGCTATGATGTATTTTCTTTCCTCTTCTCCTGGAAGCTGACGCCTATGTATGTTGATGTCTATGTATGTTTAGAATTTCTCAGGTATTTGGCTTGACCAAGGCCAGTTGTGACTTGGGGCCCTGCTGCCATGCTTGGTACTACAGGTGTTTCCAATTAGGGCTTCATTAGGGTGCAGGCGTGGTTAAGGCTTTGGATCACAGGACCAGGCAAACAGAGCTGTGAGGGGCTTAGGCTTAGCTGAGGAAAGAAAGCAGAAAGGGTGGTCTCCACACTAGAGAGCTGACTGCCATTCTAACCTTGACTCCCCCAATCCAGCGCCCCCTCAAGCTTGGGCCACACCCTAGAGCCTGGTTTTCAAACCACAGCCACCCTGTCCCCTTCCAGTTTCAGGAAATCAGTTTAGTTGATTCTTGCCAGCATGAAAAACAAAGCAAAGCAAAAAAAATGAACAAGCCAAAACAAATCACTAAAGAGCAACAGAACGGGAAGGACCAGGCTCTCCTGCATGGTAAAGGTAGGTTACTGTTTAATCAAACTTTGTTTCAGTTATTTATGTGAGAGTGTGTATGTGTGTTTAACCAGCCTGTGATGTAAGATGTTTTCTCAGTGTGAGTCAGAGGCACATTTATCAAGACATCCATCCCCCAGCCTCCTGCCTCCTCATGGCCTCGTTTCCTGACTTTTCTCAGTCTAGCCCCCACTACTCGTCAATCACTTGGCATTGATTTAAAACTCTCACCTCCCCAGGCCCTTCCCAAGTCGCCCTGTACACCCCAGTTCTGACACTCCTCCAAGAGCCTCTGTTTTCCATTCCTTTGTCCAGCCTCCCAGGTGCTAATAGACACAAGATACAGTCTTCCATGCCATTACCACTGGACTTGTCTCTTCTTCCTGGTCAGCTCCCTATTAGCTGTGCAGCCTTGCATATGCTTCATAACTGCTCTGAGCTTCTCTTTTCTCCTCTGCAAAGTGGGGAAGGGGAATGGTCCCAACGTGTGGGCTTCTCCTGAGGGCTGAAAGAAATACGTGCACCTCGTACATTAAAGGTGTTCAATACATGGTGGCTTTTATAATAAGGACGTTCTCCTACAGAACCACAGTACCAAGATTGAATTCAGGAAATGGACCATCCAGTGTACTGCTATTATCATCGAAGCTGAAGCCCAGATTTGAATTTTGCCAGTTGCTCTGTTAATGTCTTTGCCAGCCTTTTTTTTCCTCCTCACCGGGATCCAGTGCAGGCTCACGAGAGGCATTTAGTTCTTGTGCCTCTTTAATCTGAAACCATCCTTCAGCTGTTCTTTGTCTCTCACATTTCGGAAGAATACAGACCAGCTGGTTTGTCAACTTTCTCTCAGTTGGGTTTGCCTCCTGTTTTTTCACGGGTAGAATCCGATCATTTTGGTAGGAGCGCCCGGTGAGGGATGTCGTGTCCTCGGTTTTTCACAGGAGAGGCACGTGACGTCCAGTTGTGCCATCGCTGATGGTGACGAGGGACCGCTTGTTTCCAGGGTTGCCACCAGCTTTCTCTGCTGGGAAACTAGCGTTTTCCCTTTGTCATTAATAACCTGTGGGGAGATACTTTGAGACTCAGGTCTCCTGTATCTCATCAAACTTTTACCACGTGGTTTCAGCATTTATGGGTGATGCTTGTCCGAACCCGTGCTATCTATGATGTCAGCAAAAAGGCGAATCTCTAACTCTGTCATTCCTTCTAACGTGAACATGATTTTTATGTGTTCCACCTTAGACGTCTAAACCAATGAATGCCATTTCGAAATTTATATGCCAACAATATGGAAAATAAAAGCAACTTATTTATGTAGGCCTGTGGGCTTGTTCTGCTTGATGAGACTCAACATTGTAGAGATGTCATGTTATAGGGAATCTTTTCAAAGGCCCTGTCAACATACGGCTGATGCATGTAAATCAACTATACTCCAATCTGATATTTTAGAAAATTCTTTGGGGGTTGCACCGCACGGCTTGTGGAATCTCAGTTCCCCGACCAGGGATTGAACCCGGGCCTCTGCAGTGAAAGCACCGAATCCTAACCACTAGACCATCAGGGAACTCCTTAAAATAAAAATTAAAAAAAAAAAAAGAAAAAAGATATGGCTGGACTTCCCTGGCGGTCCAGTGGCTGGGACTCCGCGATTCCAATGCAGAGGATGTGGATTTGATCCCTGGTCGGGGAACTAAGATCCCACATGCCGCAGGAGCGGCCAAAAATAAATAAATTTTAAAAAGTAAAATAATCTTAAAAAAAAAAAGATACGGCTGATGCAGGCCTGTGCTGTCATTTCATCTTAAGAGTCATCTTAGGGCTTGTTTGCAATCAACACTCTCACGTGTCACGGCTGTGCTTTTTCAAAAGAATACAGAGGCATATGTGTAAATCGCATTCCCATTCAATTCAAACTAGATCTTTAACATTAATTTTGATCAACCGCACATCTCATGGAGTTCCCATGATTGGCAGAGAAATTGCTCGTCATTAGTGGCTCCAGCAAGGGCTTGTAGAAGGACGGGAGAGGCAGATGCTTTTCGGGTTCCTGATGGACAACAGACGTTGGCGTGATAAAGGAAAACTGTGCACCGCTGGAGTCATTGGGCGCGGCCTTCAGCACTTCTGCTTCTGCGCCGCGGGAAGAAGGTTTCTGCTCTTTGAGAACCAGGAAGTGGCTTCAGAATTTTGGCTTTGAATTCGGTCAGGTGCCTGCCTTTCAGCAGTCCTTGAACAAACATCACCTGTTGATTAGTCAAACACACATTTCCAACACTAGTATGAGAGGAATAATGGATGGATAGAGCTTCAAGAATGTCTGGCCCTCTTCCACTTTCTACCTGGAAAAAATGTCTTCACCTGAATACTGTTGTTTGCTTATAGCCGTGGCACCCTACCTATCTGAGTCGTGAGGCCGGTGTTGATGCAGCTGCCTATCTGGACAGTGAGTCACTCCCAGGATCATTTTCAAGATGCCCTGGCCACATATTTGTCATGGAAACCAGGAAAAAGTCTCTGCTTTCAGTGGGAGCATGTCCTCAGGAGAGGCAGAGTCTCCAGTATGTAATCATAAACAGTACAAATTTTCTCCCATTTTGGGGACATGGGGGATAGAAGTTGACTTTTTTTTTTTTTGCGGTACGCGGGCCTCTCACTGTTGTGGCCTCTCCCGTTGCGGAGCACAGGCTCGGGACGCGCAGGCTCAGCGGCCATGGCTCACGGGCCCAGCTGCTCCGCGGCATGTGGGATCTTCCCTGACCGGGGCACGAACCCCCGTCCCCTGCATCGGCAGGCGGACTCTTAACCACTGTGCCACCAGGGAAGCCCGAGGTTGACCTTTTAAAAGTATTTTTATTTGTAGTTTTTATTTTTTAAATTTATTATATTGAAGTATAGTTGATTTACAATGTTGTGTTAATTTCTACTGTACAGCAAAGTAAGTCAGTTATGCATATGTATACATTCTGTTTCTTATTCTTTGCCACTATGGTTTATCACAGGATATTGAATATAGTTCTCTGTGCTCTACAGTTCGTCCTTGTTTATCCGTTCTCTATGTAGTAGTTTGCATCTGCTAATCCCAAACTCCCAATCCATCCCTCCCCCACTGCTAAAATTATTTTTAATTATTAAAATTGTTTGAACAGAGACCACATTTATCTGGTTCAAATATTAAAACAATATGAGAAGTATATTCCCCTTCAACAGATTTCCCTTGCTCTCTTTACTAGTTTCTTGTTTAGCCTCCAACGTATACGTGAAAGCAAATATATATTTTTAACTCTCCTCTCGTTACACAACTGGTATTTAATATGGTATTCTTAAACTTTAAAAATTATTATACAGTAATACACATCTGTTTATTTAAAATAAATCACACAGTATAGAATAGAGTGAATGAAAAAGTTCTCCGAACCTCCAGCCCATGTTCCCGAGGTAGCTAGTTACCAGTTTTTTGTGAGCCATTCCAGATGTTAAAATTTTTTTAGAAACTTGAGAGCTGCTTGCTAAACACAGCCACTATTAAAAATTAAATGATATAAACGTACAACAAAATAAATTATTAAAAGTAAAGGTCATAGATACTCATAGCTCATCACTGCCTAATTATTTTAACTACATTTTACTACAATCTATGCTCTCGAGGTTGATTATGTTACAGGTACCATCTTTATGGTGGAAATATAAAATGATGGCATATACAACATTGTAAATCAACTATACTTCAATTAAAAAAGAAAATGATGGCTACTGGTTATCTCTTCTCAACTCTTCTTGAGGGCTTTACACCTCTATTGACATAGAATGTAGAAGATGCTTCATTGAAATTAATCAAAAATATCAACTTAGGAAATGTAAAGATGCAACAAACGTGTCAACACAGTTATTTTTAAATTTAAAGAAAATCGGCATGAGAATAAATGACATTGCTTAGTTAGGAAAAATAAATGGCTACTTCTCATGGATGTCCAAATAGCCTTTCCCTTTTTTTTAATCTAAATGGCCAAGTAGACAAGGTCTGTCCTCCCTCATCCTGGAAAATTTCATCTCTCATCCACCTGTCACTATTTGGATGGTCATTCCAGTGTCTCCCCTGGTCCTAAATTCTCCTGCTTCTCTTCACTCATTTTTTTCTCTGGCTGTACTTCTTCTACTATCCCTTAAATATTGGTTTGTGCAATGAGCCAACCTTGAGCTTACACTCTTCCTCGTCTGCATTCTTCCTTGTCTATGCTCTTCCTTTCCCCATGGCTTTACCTAGTAAGTTTCTTTAACCTGATGACTCTAGGATTCCTTTGGATTCCATCTGACTCTCTCTCGGGCTCCATCTGGCTAGACATCTCCACGTGATCATCGCTTAAAGTCACCCTGTCTACAGAACTTGTCCTCCCCACTTAGTCAATGGCATCATTATCATTCAAGTAACTTGACAAGTCAGCTGTATCTTGTGACTCACCAGTCACATCCATCACTCACCAGCAGTGGGAATCTAATCCAAACATTGCTCTACAACCTCCAGCCGTGTCCTTGGGTTCAGACTTTCCCTTCCATCAGACTCTTTCTTCCCTCCATGCCCCAGCCTCATCCCAGTTACCTTCCAAGGCCCAAGTCCTTTCACATCCTCCAAGAAGTCTCCCTAGATCCTCGCTCAGATTGATTCTGTCTTCCTGCAATCCCCACTGCATTCTGCTGGTACTTTCTATGAAGACTTAGAGTCTACCCCTCTCTGGAGTAGGGTAATTACCTAAATCTCGATTTCCCTCCCCCAGATTGGAGGCTCCTGGGCTGGAGACGGACAGAAGAGATCCTAGCATGGAGCTCTGTGGAGTACGTGCTTGAGAAATGTGAGTTGAATCGTTTGCTATTGAATTTATGCACAACGTATAGGAATCTTGCCAGTGAAAGGTGTAGGAAGGAGCTAGTTTTCCCCACCCCAGGGGTCACAGATTCATGTGTTTACAGGTGCCCAGCACAGGTCACATAAATAACTGGAGAGGTCAGGCTCTGTCGAGAGAGGAAGCAACCCCTTCTTAGCTCAAGCCACTTAACCATAAGGAAACACGGATCCAGTGTTGCCAAGTCTTCCAATTATTCAAGAGGAGGCAGAGATAGGGATTTTTAAATGTGCAATCTCTCAAGTTATAATTATTGGTAACTAGAGACATTTTAACCTTTTATTGTAAAATTGAAGAAAGGAAACTACAAAAACCCACAAACATAGAGTTTAATGCGTTATGAGGCAAACATCCAACTCTTCTAATGGAAACTCAGGTCAAGAAATAGAACTTGGCCACCTACCCCAGGAGCCTACCTGGGCTCCATTCCAGTCTCAGCACCCCCAAATGAACCCCTTCTGTACATTTATACTAATAATTTGCTTTCATTTTCTTATGATTTTAGCATTTGGGTGTGCACCCCTAGGTGCTATACTCTAACTGAACGCAAATTGAGTCTGAGTCATTTTTTAAAACTTGTGTCTTTTCATCTGCAGATCCCTCCTCTGGCACTTCCCTTTCCTTACAATTTCTTTTTGTTGGAGTACCTGGGGTATTTGACTTGTAAAGTTTCTCACAGTCTGGATTTGTTTACTGAATGGTGCAGCTCATCACGTGGTCTGCACTTCCTGTACTTTGGCATCTAGATCCACAACTTGTTCATTAATTAAAACATTGTTTTCAATTGCGAGCATCATCCACTGGCAGCAGCTTATCTCTGCATCCTCTACCTTGCTCTGTCTCCTTGTTTGTTTCTCTCGCTACTTACTTGGCCCTGACTGTGAATAGTCAATCAACTTCTTTGCCGCTTTCCACGTTGGGAGGATGGAGATGTATTCTGATCTAATAGAATCAAAGTCTTCATAATTGTCACATTGCTGACCATAAACGTTGGGTGTTGTGGCTCCTTGGATCCTATAACGTGGGCCACGTAGGGATGCTTTAAAGGGACAAAACCAGGCATCCTCCCAGAGACTGATTTGTTGCCTTTTCAGCCAGATGGTTCACCAGGTGGGATGCAGCCAAGTCACTAGTCTTTCCCTCACCAGACGACAGGATTTCCTCTGACCACGGCACCTGCTAGTTTAAAAGGGAAGTCTAGAACCACTTCTCACACGGGGGAGGGGGGTGGAGGCTGGGTGTGTGTATGTAACTCTGCAGGTGCCAAAAGTCAGCAGAGTTCTAAAGGCAAGTAACCCATGTCTTCCATGGGGGTACAAAGGGGTAAAAGAAAACAGGATTTGCAGAGAGATTCCCCAGGATAGTAAAGCTCTGGTGAAAAATCTATTAAGAAATCTGTAAAATCCCCTGGAAAAATACATAAGAAAGGGAGAACAGCAAAAAACAACAAAATGAGAAAGAGGAAATAAAAGGAATCTAGACAAGAGAACCAAGATGTTGACCTGTCATATATCAGAAAACATTTTCCCAGTCAATGAAAGGGCTTGGTGAACAAAGCTAAACTTGTGCATCCATGGTAATACGTGTAGTTGATTATAATTGTTTAAACCGCTTAATCATTTCAGGTAGAGTTTATCCATAGTGGTAGACTGGGTAGACTGACACCCAAGTAAAACCGTTTTTGTTACAAGTCAGAGATGCATACATTTGCGTCAAATGCATAAGGCATAATGGCTGTTGACTAGCGGACTAATAACCAGGCAAAAACCTGTCTCTAGGTAAGTTGACCTGAACAGCTAGTGACCTGGGAGGAATTCCCTCCCGCTGAGTGGGCATACGTGGCAGGGAATAACTCTTTACACCAGTGGGTGGGCACTTCGGCTGGCCTGACCCTTTTTCTTCTCCTTTCCACCCTCTTCACTCCTTTTTTCCCTGCTCTTTTGTTTCTTATTCTACCTCAAGTTCACTGTTAATTAGACAGTGAAATGTCTCATTTCTCCTAGATGGCGAGGTGAAATTTTCCTAAAAACAGAGCATTCAGTGTCTGGCAATAATTGATTTTCATCATAATGGCTCTCTAATGAACTGTTGAGTTTCAAAAGAAGTTTTCTCTGAATGAAAATTTGCCTGGTCACCATGCTTCGGGCATGAAGAGATAACATCGTAGGGGAGAAGAGACACATCTTCCTTACAGAATAATTCCAAGTGATGTATCTAGATACTCTCCATCCAAGAGGGCAAGATTGGGCTTCCCTGGTGGCGCAGTGGTTGAGAATCCACCTGCCGATGCAGGGGACGCGGGTTCGTGCCCCGGTCTGGGAGGATCCCACGTGCCGCGGAGCGGCTGGGCCCGTGAGCCATGGCCGCTGGGCCTGCGCGTCCGGAGCCTGTGCTCCGCAACGGGAGGGGCCACAACAGTGAGAGGCCCACGTACCGCAAAAAAAAAAAAAACAAAAAAAACAACTGAATTGCAAGAGGGCAAGATTAATCCCTCCCCAGCTCCCACCCACACTGGGCTAGATTTAGTGACTCCTTCCAAAGAATAGAGTATGGACAGGGAAGGGAAAAACAGCAGTATTATAGTGGAGAAACCTGGCAGACAGCACCTTAACCAAGTGATGGAGGGTAACATCCTCAGTGATGTCATGTAGATATCAGGTACCTGCTGACATGTTATGAAGAGAAGGGAACTTTGGCACTTTCCCAAAATGCATAACATAACCTCAGTCTAATGAGAAAAACATCACGCAAACCCAAATGAAGGGACATTGTATAAAATTCCTGGCTGACACTACTGGAAATTGTCAAGTTCATGAAAAAATATGGAAAGATGCAGAAACTGTCAGCCCAGAGGAGACTAAGAAGACTTGATGATGAAACGCAATGTGGAATCCTGGATTGAATTCTCAAACAGAAAGAGGACATTGAATGGAAAAACAGGTGAAATTGGAATGAAGTCTTGCTTTAGTTAACAGTAACGTAGCCTTGTTAGTTTCTTAGTTGTGACAAACAATATAAAGTTTATTGAAAGAAAGTGAACAAAAACAACAAAAGATAACATCTTTTAATTGGCTACCAAGTATTCGACCTAGATTTTTTTTTAATTTATTTATTTTAATTTATTATTTTTGGCTGTGTTGGGTCTTCGTTGCTGCGCGCGGGCTTTCTCTAGTTGCGGCGAGTGGGGGCTACTCTTCATTGCGGTGCGCGGGCTTCTCTCATTGCGGTGGCTTCTCTTGCTGCCGAGCACGGGCTCTAGAGCGCGGGGCTTCGGTAGATGCGGCACGTGGGCTCAGTAGTTGTGGTTCGTGGGCTCTAAAGCACAGGCTCAGTAGTTGTGGCGCACGGGCTTAGTTTCTCTGTGGCATGTGGGATCGTCCTGCGCTCGAACCCTTGTCCCCTGCCTTGGCAGGCAGATTCTTAACCACTGCGCCACCAGGGAAGCCCTAGATTTGTTTTTAACATTTCAGTACTCCTCATATCTTGTTAGTACACGGACCATCTGTTAACATAATGAAGTGTTCTGTTTGTAACAGCTTATGACAGGCTGCTTGGTGTATAAAGCAGCTAAAATCAAGGCTCTTGATTTGACATGGCAGCTTAATTCTGTGTATTTCTGTAGATGTGGTCTCGGTCCTACCTTTGTCTAGAGAGATCTTGGGCAAATGTATGCTGTTTGAATCAGGATGGGTAAAATATTCAGTGTGGTTACCTCCACCCCCAGAAAATAACTGAAAACACGTGGTCTCTGGAAGGTGAGCTAGCAGTGCCATCTTTCCATATGAAGACCTGCTTGACTATAATTAAAACTTTCATTTGACTATTAAAATTAAAGAACAGCTATAAATTAAAGTAACAATATTAAAACCTCTGGGGGGTAAGTCTAAAACTCCTCTTTAATTAGAGAGCTACAAAACCTAAGGAACACTAATTCTTTTCGGCATCAAGGTCTCATCTTACAAAGAAGCTGGTATTTTGTAAATCACAGCTCTTCCAGGGCTGAGGACAAATTTTGGTTCTTGCTTGGGATTACTGCCTGAAAGATTTTGCCCTTTAAGAACTAGGCTATAAGTTAGAGAATACTAATTTCTTATCCTGATTGGACATATGAGAATCTGGGTGGTCTTGGTCATGTCATGACTTTTCTAGATTAGAGTTTCCATAGTTCTATAGTTAGATGTTGGGTTATTAATTTTATTTGACTGTTATAGTTCAAAAAGTTTGAAATTTTTGTTGCAATAATGAAAATAGTAGCCCTTCTCCTTAAAAACAGAAGGCATTAGTAATAGGTGGTGGATTCGGTTTTTAATTGTATATTCTTCTTTGTACTTTTCTGTATTTTTCACATGTGTGTATCTGTAGTCATATAAACAGAAAACTGTATTTGAAAGCACTGTAAGGACATATACTAGTAGATTTTTCATTAAGACTTACTGAGTTTAAGACATTGTGCTCAGGTGGGCCTTAATCCTTCACTTTAATGACAGTTTTGCCAGGACAATCTGAAAGTTGAACTTGGCTTTCAGTTCATCCCCTGACTGCCCTTTTCCATTTGCCAGTCTTAATATTTGTGCTTTTTGTTTATAGATCTTATTCCTCAGTTTTTATCTTTTTTTTTTTTCCATTGGATTAAAACAAACAATGAGCTTTAAAAAGAACACTCCTCGGGGGTCTCAGGCGGGCACAGGAGAGAATCCAGGTCCGGCTTGGAGTCAAGGTGAGAGCACTGACTGAGCGAGGACTGAGGGGAACCTGGATCCCAGAACAGAGTTGGCCCTTGGAGACCATAGGGCAGGATGAACACGTGCAGCACTTCCTGACATCCGGGTCTCAGAGACGCTGGGGAGGGGCGTGTGGGGCGGGGTCTCAGAGAGGCTTGGAAGGGGGTATAAGGGGCCGGGTGTCTGGTGTGCACAGGAGAGAATCCCAGGTCCTGCGTGGAGTCAAGGTGAGGGCCCTGAGGGAGGACTGAGGGAAGCCTGGACCCCAGAACAGAGTTGGCCCTGGGCGGCCATAGGGCGGGATGAGCACGTGCAGCACTTCCTGACATCCGGGTCTCAGAGACGCTGGGGAGGGGGAGTATGGGGCGGGGTCTCAGCGAGGCTGGAGAGGCGGTATAAGGGTCGGGGTGTCTGGTGGGCCCGAGAGAGAATGCTAGGTCCTGCGTGGAGTCAAGGTGAGTACCCTGAGCGAGGACTGAGGGGAACCTGGACCCCAAAACAGAGTTGGCCCTGGGATGCCATAGGGCGGAATGAGCACTTGCAGCACTTCCTGACATCCGGGTCTCAGAGACGCTGGGGAGGGGAGTGCGGGGCGGGGTCTCAGGCTTGGGAGGGGGTATAAGGGGCGGGGTGTCTGGTGGGCACGGGAGAGAATCCCAGGTCCTGCGTGGAGTCAAGGTGAGGGCCCTGAGGGAGGACTGAGGGGAGCCTGGACCCCAGAACAGAGTTGGCCCTGGGTGGCCATAGGGCGGGATGAGCACGTGCAGCACTTCCTGATATCTGGGTCACAGAGACGCTGGGGAGTGGGTATAAGGGGCGTGATCTCAGGCGGGCACAGGAGAGAATCCCAGGTCCTGCTTGGAGTCAGGGTGAGAGCACTGAGGGAGGACTGAGGGGAACCTGGATCCCAGAACAGAGTTGGCCCTTGGAGGCCATAGGGAAGAATTAAAAAAAAAAAAAAAGAACACTCCTCATGGTAGATATCTCCAGAGAGCTTATATTTACTCTAAACTGAGTTTTGCCAGACCGTCCAAGTGGATACTCCTGGTTTTTCATTACCCATCAACACATTACACTGTAGAGGATACAGTGGCATAAAATTGGTGTAATCCAGCAAAACTCTGATATGCAAACAGGACAACACAAAATCATGAGAATAGTTTTCTATCTAGTTCTAGAAAAATGATTCATATTTTTCCTCCCTTCTTTCTTTCGAGGTTTGTAAAAAGGCAAAATTATATATATATAGTAATTCGGTGCCTAAAAGTTTGAACTCTGGAAAATGGGATTGCCACTCTCCATGTTTCCCATTGGCTAAAGAGATGCTTTCTCTAAGAATATGCAAACTCTCTAGTCCAGTCTTTTACATCTTTAAAGTTATACCTGTTTGTTTTGTAGCATAATGCCAGCATGGCACTACAGTCAGCTGTATCTGAGAACAAAAGTGTATATCTCAATGTGATGAACGAGGACATAGGAAAACTTGGACAGTTGAATGTTGTCCATGGTTATCTGAAGGTGGCAGAGATCTGGATTTGGTTGAGTCACTTCCGGTTTGATTATCTCGGCTGATTGCCACCAATCACATTTAAGGCTTCTGCCATCACATGGTTTATTTTTCATACATGCTGATGTGTGTATGTCAAATAGTGCAAAGGACTCCATGGTAATTTTAACCTACTACCTGGGTCTTTAGTTGTGAGAACCACAAGGTACGTCCCGGTTGACTGAGTTTCTTGAATGAATGAAATGCACAACAAGTTCCCTTAGCAAAAGTAAAATCAGCCTCCCCTTTGAAGATGTGGCATGATTTGTAAACCTGACCACTATAAGGACATCTTTGCTAATTTAATACACATTTATATACTGCTGCTTTTTCATTCAGAAAATTTTCATTTCAAAAAGAGAAAAATCTTCTATAATGATTAATTCATTAACTCTGATAATATCTCTCTACATACCAGAGTCAGCAAACTCTGGCCTGAGGGCCAGATATGGCCAGCTACCAGTTTTTCTACAGCCTGAATGCTAAGGCTGGCATTTGTATTTGTAAAGGACTGGAAAACAAATCAAAAGAATACTATTTCTTGGTGTGTAAAAATTATATGAAATTCACATTTCAGTGTTCATAAATCAAGTTTGATTGGCGCCCTCATTCATTTGCAGCTTGCTTCTGGCTTTCATGTTCAATGGCAGAGTTGGGTAGCTCTGACAGAGACTATATGGCCTGCAGAACAGAAAATATTTACTATGTGGCCCATTTCAGAAAACGTTTGCTGCTTCCTCTTCCAGACAAAGCTATTTTTGGAAAGAGAACTGAGGCCCAGCATGAAGTGGGTAGACATAGCAAGATCACTGCAATGAACTGGCCTGGGATGTAAACCAAACTTCTCATGTGATATAATTTCTAGCGAAGCATCTTGCATAAGTGGGGGAAATTAAAATCTGGAGGTGAAAGTAGAAAACAAAAATCAAAAATCTAAATTTTGCATAGTGGGAATGTTTGAAGGATAGAGCCCAAGGATCGAGGGCGTATTTTATCTATTGCCAAACTTTTTCTGGAGTAGCATGCTTCCCTTCCCGAAAGCAGAGCCATGCAGCCCTAGGCCATCACAAACCCTTGCTGATTGATTGCTGGATGAGGGTCACGTAGCTCTGACTTTGGTCGGTGTAGGCAGTGATCAGGATGACCTTTGAATGTTTAGGGTCTCAAAGCACACATACTTTGGGGGGGGGGGGTCCATAAAAAGGCTGAGTCTGTGTCCTTCCGTGAAAGGCCCCCTAGAAGTGCTATAGTCAGGTTCTCAAAAGCCTGCCTCTTTTATTTGGGGCAGGTTTTAGTCCATTTGTGAGGGGATAATGAAGGTTAGAATTTCAGTACTTGTTACAACCTTGTCAGTGGTGGAGGACGGACGTGGCTAAGAACAATGGTTATATTTTGTAATTTCTGGTTTGTGTGTGTATGTGGCTATCTAATGTTTTATTTGGGGGTAATTTCGTGTATATAATTTATAAATACATAATACATTCTTTACATATTTGTGCGATCAAACTTTTTAAAAAATTTTTTATTGAAATATAGTTGATTTACAATATTGTGTTTCAGGTGTACAGCAAAGTGATTCAGTTATACATATATGTGTATATATATATTCTTTTTAGATTCTTTTCCCTTATAGGTTATCAAACTTTTTTTTTGGTGGGCGGGGCCTTGCCGCGTGGCATGGGGGATCTTAGCTCCCCGACCAGGGATTGAACCTGTGCCCCCTGCAGTGGAAGTGTGGAGTCTGAACCACTGGACTGCCAGGGAAGCCCCAGACTTTTTATTGATAGTTTTATTTGTGTCATCAGATAATTCACATACTTGTTTTTTGCTTAATTTTCTACTGTTGTATAACAAATTACCACAGATTTAATGGCTTAAAGCAACACATTTATCATCTCACAGTTTTTATCCATTAGGAGTCTGGGAATGGTGTAGCTAGATCTTTGGCTCAGGATATCACAGAGGTGCAATCAAGGTGTCGGCTGGGGCTGTGGTCTCATCTGGAAGCTCGTGTCCCCTTCCAAGTTCAAGTAGTTTGGGGGCAGAATTCTTTTCCTTGAAGCTATAAAACCCATGGTGGATTTCTTCTTCAAGGTCATCAGGAAAGAGTCTCTGACTCAGAGAAGGCCTAAGCCCTCTTTTAGAGGATGCCCAACTGATTAAGTCAGACCCACCCAGGATAATCACTCTTTTGATTACTTAGAGTTCACTGATTTGGGACCTCAATTACATTTGCAAATTCCCTTCTACCTTGCCATATGATGTCACACAATCAAGGGAGCGACATCCATTGCCTTTGTCATATAACATAACCATATGTCATATAACATAACCATATGTCATATAACATAACCCCCTGGTGTAACACCAGGGGGCTGAGATCATAGATACCATGTTAGAATTTTGGCTCTCACACCAGGCAAGGGAAGCATGACTCCAAGAGTTGGAGGGAGCCAGCTTTGAATCTTACCTCTTCCACTAACTAGCTGTGTGAATGTACAAGTAATTTAACTTCTCCGTGCCTCCGTGCTCTCAACTGTAAACTGGAGATCATTGTAGCACCATTTTAGCGTTCCAGCATCTACCACTTCAGGCTGGTGCCAGAATTCAATAAGATAATACTTACAAAGGGTCTGGAACTGTGACTGGCAAATAGCAAGTGGTGAACAGGTGTCAGATATTTTCATTCATTTTTATACATACAGACGTTCTATTCATCCAACGGAAAAATGATATTGGACATTGCCAGAACGTGCATCACAGGATCTTCAAGAAAGCAAGACAAGAGGAAGGAATTAGGATGCAAATTAATCCTGGTTTTATAGTAGAAAGGGCTTACTGAGAGCAAGCTAGTTCAGTAAATGGTGCTTGAACACAAAGTGAGATAAGTCTGTGAAAGCGTCTGCACCGAATAACTGTTGCTTGAATTTAAATCTGGACAAAAGTACACGCTTAATAATTGTCTGTGGATTAATGGATGTGATTATCTTCTTTTTAAAGTCAAACCACTGCTTAACCAAATTATTTTTTTCTTTTTATTGTTACCCACAGAACTGTTTGAACCTGACAAACATTTGATCTGTCCACGTGGCCCCTGTGTTCTTCCCCGATCTAAGGTAAGGTCTGTTAATATGAAACCAATAGAGAAAGTCAGAGTGTAAGAACGTTTGCCAAAGATCTTGATAAAGTATTGTGTAGCAAATGGAGAAATACAAATATCTAACCCAGGACCTGTAGTTTCTGTACTGAGTGATAATTCTCACCTACCTCCTAGTCACAAGCTAAAGGCCTGTGTTAAGCCCTTCCTCTCTGAAGGGAAGGAGAAAGAAAACAAAAACAAACTCCCCCAAACAAGGTGACCCCCCAGAAAAACACCACTCTCAATTTGCTCGTGTCCTTGGAAGTAAAGACAAAGAGATTCCCTTGATTACAGACTTGCTGATCTGTGGAAAATCCACAACCCCACGTTACCTCGTGCTTACAACAATGGGCAGACAGAAATCACACACTGCGGCCTTTTGTCTTCTCCTTATATTGGCTTCTTATTCTCCAGAATGGCTTCTGGTCTGGTAACAGGGAGAGGGCCTGCTGGCTGAGGAACGCTCTGCAGAGTGGCTGGTATGGCTGTGGGTGGTGCCTGGGGAGCCTGGGAAAGGAAAATTCCTGGGAGACGGGGCTGTGCTGTAGGTCCAGTAACTCAGCCATCCTGGAATTCTCGGACATGCCTGGTGCTTTGGGATCCTCGGAGCTCCTATCAGAGTGAACCGAAGAGCTAACTATTCTAAAATTTTACAGAAAAGAGAGGGGGGAGAGAGGGAGGGAAATGACATCAACATACAGCAACATTCTGAGTCTCATTGTCAAGTACTAGCAAACCATCCTAAGTAGCAGATCCAGATCTTGCTAAATTTTTCATAAAATAGGAATTATTTTAGACCGTAGGAACAAAAGGACTATAGGATTGGTAGATCATTTCTTGTCTTACTTCAGAATCTGTCTCTGTATATAATCTACTTTTATCATTAAATCACTGGAGGAACATAGAATAATGGAGGCAACCATCCAGATGTTTCCAAGCATCCAGGTGTTTGACAGTGTGGAAGTCTATGTGGACACAAAGTGTCTGGGCTTTCCATGGACTCATTGTTTATCCTTTTGATTTATTTGCTTATTTATATGTATGTATTTGGAGGGGTGGGATGGGTGGGACACGAGCAGATTTCATTCATTCAGCACACACTTAGGAAGCGCCTGTTATGGGTAAGACACTGAAAGACACACAGAGGAAACACAGAGGGACTTGGGCCGTAAGAGATTTGCAGTCCTATCCCAGGGACTAGAAATCTTGTGACAAGCATCGTTCAAAGTTGTATTGACTCCCATACGCCTAACTCGTCTTCTGGCAAAGCTGGTCAAAACCATTCAGCGGGTTGCCGAATTCTACAAGAGAACAAGAGTGAGGTTGAATTGACTGGTCATTCAGCAGATGTGGTTAACTCGATTTCCAGTTTACGAACAGCCAAACCAAAGGCTTCTAGTAGGAGTAAGCCAGCTTTCTGTCAATCTCTTCCGTGTCTCTTGGAGGGAAAAACTGCCATCTGGAAGGCGAAATTGCAAGCAGCCAGTCAGATGCAGTTTTCACCTCTGAACCAAGTGTTCAGTTTCGCCCACACGTTTCCTCCAGCGTGAGTTTCTCATTCAGTGATCCCCGGCTGTATTTCTTCCCATTCAGCTCATCTCACTTTCTTTTTAATCAGTGACAAAACAGGATAAAACACCTTTATTATTATTATCTGAAGCTCAGCATTACACCTAGGATTTATCTCTTTAAAAACTAGGAAGCCATGGCATTTATCAAAAGCAGAGAAGCGGTGGATGTGACTAGCGGTTCATACTGCCAATGGGTATTGCAAATTATACTAAGAAAATCTGCGAGTATCTTGTGTTATTAGCTTCTCAAATTTGATGACTACTATTTTACGAGTGTCTTCTTTTCCTTCTAGACATTTGTGGCATTTTTCTTAATGACCAAATATAGATATAGATATGTAATTTGTACCACCTGTAGTATTATTGTTAAGAGGAATAATCCACGTGGTACTGATGCAATTTTAGTCTTATATTCCTGGACTCTTGGAACCATTTAAGCAGCTGGCCCGTGGATGGACTCCTTAGAGCACATTTGAAAACCTTACAGAGAGGTACATTTTACCCATGGCTGCACCATTTGGCTGTCAGAGTCCCTGGAATGTTCGGGAAAGGATGCTAAGTCAACACTCCACATGACTTAATTGGGTGTTTCCATGAAAGATATAATAAACCGTGCTTCTCTATACTGTCTGAAGATGGGTCACGTGGCAGGGTCTCTGTTGACAAAGGCCGCCAGGAAGTGACTCTCTCCTCCCCAGAGACACCATTTTCAAGCTGCTCTTTTCTGCTCAGTAAAGATTAAAAAGGAAGTGAAACCTTTTGCACTCTTCTGCACTGTTGTTTTTTGGTGTGTTTTTTTTTTCAGACAGAGCAGGAACGCCTGCTCATACATTCTTCCAAGACTTGCTAAGAAAGGCTTGAAAATAGCAGGCAAAAAGTGTCTGTGTTTGCTGTCTGTTCTTTGGCTATGGAATAAAAACAAAAAAAAAATGACATTGAATCTGGTGTTTGAAATGGCAGTGCTGTTGTGGCTATGATGACTGGCTTGACAAGCCCACAGTATTCTAGAAGCATGAGCCTGTCCCAGGAGCCAGCTCAGCTGTTTCTCAAGAATGAGACGGACTGGGGCCCTGCAGCAGTGCTTCCTCTTGCCGACCTTTCAGCCGCTGGGCAGAAACACATGCAAATAAAAATCAAGAACCCCAGAGAGCAAGCAAATCATTTCCAGACAGGCTGATAATGAACTTCAAGCCTTCAGCTCCAGTATCACTGATTGAAATCCATTTGTTTTAGCTCTTTAATAGAATATGAGGTTAAATACACAAACCTACGTTTTTAGAATTCTCTCTTGGATTCATACCAGCGTGCGATTTTTTTTTTTTTTTAAAGACAACATAAAATAGAGTGACTTTTTAAAAATCTAGCTTTTACGTCTTAATAAAGCTGGGGGGGAAAAATCTAGCATAGCACGAGAAAATAGAAAATGCTTTCAGATTTCCTCTCCCTGATTTTGAAGGTTTTCTTTTTTCCTTTATTAATAAACCTTAAAGATTTAAAAATGTAAGCCAGGTGTGAGCTCTGAGGGAGAAGGTGCATTTTATTCACCTTTGTGTCCCAGACAACCAGAGATGGTGGGGTTGGGGTTTGTTGAACTCAGGAATCTTCTCCCTCCCATAACAGGGATAAGTCCCTTTTATAACTGTGAGTCTGCAGGAATCTGAGACCCAGAGTAGAGAATCTCTGCTTATTTTTCTAATCTATCTAATCTGTCCTTCGAATTCTTCTATTTTGGATAACGTTAGATTTGAATCACGAGTTCCTGGGTCCGTAGTACTGTTTGTACTCCTGAGATTACACTGAGAAGTTTACTAGACCGTGCATCTCTAGAGCCTTCCTTTTCCTTTTTTCCATGTGTCTGGGGATGTAGTGAGAAAATCTGCCTTCAGCTACCTCAGTGGTTTGGCAGCCCTGACTTCCTGCTCATCATTTGCATTTCTATGGCCTTTAAGCTAAACGTTTCAAAAATGTAACGATCATTTCATTAAACTGTACTTCTCTGTCTCTGGAATGAATATGACAATGTTTGGGTCATTTCAGAACCGGAAAATTAAGGCCCCAAAGTTGCAAAGATTTTTCTCTCTTGTCATTGTGCGTATATATGCAGTATATGAATAAATCGTTTAGTACTGTAAAAAAGTTTCAGATTTTTTTCCCTTTGGGTTGGAAACAAAAGCCCTTTTCAGAGACTTCGATGATTCTTCCTCCAAACCTTAGCCTTATTCACACATTCTGCTAACCAAACCGTCCTTATAAAACCAGTAGAACCCTCTACCTTTGGGATGGGGGGGACCACAAAGAAATTAGCTGAAGCATTCAAATTCTCCTTTTCTGGGACTTTCATCCTCATTCTCCTCTATGACAATCCCTTGATCTCTCCTTGTCCATATATATTTTTCATTTATATTGATATATTTCATTTCTATTTTCCATTTATATTGCTCTATCAGCAGTTCTGTACTTCTTTAAAAAAGCGACCCCTTTTTGGTATCCTCAAATTTTTGTGGCCTACCGTAAGATACTATGATTATTTTTACACTTTTGAAACTTATTTAAAAAGAATCTTCTAGCTAGGGCATTGCATTCTTTTGAGTGGGAAAATACATATTTGATATTGAATCTCTCAGTCCCTGTTATAACGGTGAGCCTGCAGGAATCTGAGACCCCTAGTAGAGAATCTCTGCTTGTTTTCACTCAGCCACTTGGATGCTTCCCCGCCTTGTTTTCTAATTGCTTCTCAGCATCTCATTTCAGGGGGGTGGGAATTAAGCCGTCATTTCCTCTCACAGGCAGAGACCAGCTGTTCACGCATTGCTTGGTTCATCCTCTTGATCAACTTCTGCCTGGGAAGAGTCACTGCACTGACCCTTCAAACACATCTCTGGTTGCTGCAACTAATTTTATGTTTTAGTACAAAGTAAAGGACCACTGACCTCCATCTAGTAAGAATCTGACCAAATGTTCGTGAATTAACAGTTTCCATCTTTGCAGACTTTGGCCTTTGAAGCTTGTTTGGCTTTCTTTTCTTACTGTTGCAGAGTCTTTCAGTTTTCTTATGAGCATAAAGGTTGCAGAGACCTATTCCCTCCTGAAAGTACCATCAGGGCTCCTTGGCTGGGTGGGTGAAGGGTCCAGGCCTGACCCGTGGGCTGCTGGAATAGTCATGTGAAAAAAAAAAAAAAAGGCCCCATTAACCACTTTTTCCACCTGTTCTTTAGTCTCGCTTGAAAATCGTTTGTTTCTAATGTCTTTTCATCACAGTTTTTACAGTCATCTTGTCAACAAGTTATCCTAAAAAGTGTTGAAAAGGCCCCATCCATTCTCAGCACAGAAGCTCCCCTTTGGATTCCTTTGTGACTGTTATTTGGCTCTTAACATGTGGCTGGTATGAACTTGTTTGGAAAATCCC